CGCCGCGCCGGAGCGCGAGGGTGCAGCGAGCTCGGTCCTCCCTCAGAGAGCCCCCGCTGCCCGCGGTGGGGGAAGAACGCAATCCGCGGCCGCGGGTCTTACGGCGGCGGCAGGCCCTGTGACGTCACGTCCGGTGCGGCGTCCGCGCCAAGAAGGCCCGGCCGGGGCAGGGGAGGGTGTATCCCACAATGCACCGCGGCGGCGGGAGCGGGTCTCGCTGCGCCGTGGGCTGAGGGGCAGCGGCCGCGCCCGGGATGCGGTTACGGCTCTGACGGGTTGGGCCGCGCTTAGGGGGCGGGGGAGAAGGCTCTGCCCGCCGACCGGGCGGGGAGACCGAGGCGGGCTGCGACCGGCTTGGCCACGCTGAGGCAAAATGGCTGCCCTGAGGGCCCAGGGAGGTGAATCCAGGCCTGGGCCCCCTGCTCAGCCATGCGAGCGTCCTGCTTGCGTATCTCCTTCAGCAGAGCGTTAAACTTAAGTTTTAGGGCTGTTGCGTTTTGTTTTTTGTTTTTTTTTTTCCCCCTAACATTGTGCTTTCCCATTTCAAAACACTGTATCATGGTTCTTAGGGGCTTTTACAGCGAACTGATCCCATGGTCTGCTCTGGAAGGACACTCCAACCTACTCCGCAGGCTGAGCACAATGACTTTGGACAGAACAAACCTTAATGTACTTCGGTTTGTGTCTCTGTAAGTTAATAGAAGAGGAGGAACAAGAAAGCGTTTGAGATTGAGGCAAAGTTACATCTCAAGTGGACACGCTGATGAAAACGTCGTGTCCTGAGGGCTGTGTGTTCCTGCAGAAGCGTGTGCTCTGTGGCGCATCTGCGGAGGCGTGATGGAGAATTACATGAGAAATGAGTACAAAAGAGGGCAGGAGAGGCTATCTTGGAGAAGAAGCAAGAAAATTACACAACAGCATTATGTTAGCAACATTATAGTTTAAATAAAGTCAATTTTAAACACCAGTGCGGTAGTCTAGTTTGTCACAAAGCCCAAAAGACACGTTAAGGCAGTAAGCGGAGGGTTAGATGGTCGAACGGCTGTAGTGAGCCCCAAACCCTCGGAGCAGCAGAGCCTCCCTGGTGCGCCTGCCTCGCCCTCACCCAGCGCGACTCGTTCCTCTGCTCAACGCCTCGCTGCTTGGCGTTCGGGTCAAAAATTGCTTTTGAAGTGCTGATTTTTTGTCTGATTCGCAAGATAGAATAGAGGGATGCTGCTAAGAAATGTTTGAAATCGTTGTGCTTTCGCAATCTGGGTGTCTCTCGTTTATCCCTTGGTATCTTTTGTATCGGCACAAGCGAACCCATGTGGTGCCGGAAAGGTTGAGTCATTGTAACCACCGCAATGGGGTGGAAGTAGTATCTGAGTGTGTAGAAAAACCCTTTAGGCTCCTAATTTAATTAAGGGATTTTGAAATAGGGGTTGTGCCTCTTCAGTGGAGTCTGTAGTGCATACTTCATTTTTCACATGTTAATTAAAAATGCATATTCCTCCAGAAGAGCAGCAATCCTGATGACACAATTAGGAAAATGTTATCAGTAGAACATCACAACCTGGTTGTCTGTTACAAATGCCTTTCGTTTTTCTCTCATGGAGGTTAAAGGACAGCAACGTGCTCTGCTCTAGTGATTTTTAACATTGGTAGCATCTATGTTCGATCGCTAGTGGTTTAAATAAAGGCTGCTATCAATCACTGAAAGATATTATGAGAAAGCCCATCTTCAGGAGTGGTGGTTCGCAAAGTATAAACTGCTGAGTGTCTAGGGATTTTGTACATCTTTAAAAGAGTATTATGGTTTTACAATTCCGTTTGTAGTGGAGGACGATCTGGCGAGAGGGTGACTGCAGTGCCCCCGTGGTTCTGGCGTTGACCTACACGACTTCAGTGGGTGCTGTTGAGTAAGGAATTTTTTTGAACCAGCACAATTTAACAAGGTAATTCAGTTATTTGCCAGCTCAGTCGAAATACTTGTTGCATACAAAAAACCAAAAAACCCCAATTCCCCTCCCCACAAAACCCCAAATCTCAAACACCCCGAATATGCTTTTCCCAGGTGTAGGGAAGGCTCCATCCTTTGCCAAGAAACGAGTATTTTGCAAAGCTTCTTAAACTGCTGAAAGTTATTCTTAAAGGCATCATAAAATAATGGTGAGGCTGCCTGGTTTGCAAAAACCCTATTGCGTAGTTTCTTTTGTGTGTTAATAATCCTCATAACTGCGTTAAATGATTGCCTTAATTACCTTAATGAAGTGTCTCTTTATAGAAATATTGAATGTTTCCTTCCTCATTATCTTTTTTAGCTCTGTGTTATCAGTGGAGTGCTTAAAGCAGTTGGATAAGCTGCAGAACATTTATTTGCTTTGTCAGAGTCGCTTTTGGCTTTCTGGCAAAATGTATATGTGGAGAATCATTAAAAATTAATTATGTAGAAAATAAATTAATGGGAAGGAAATGGCAAATAATCTTGCTAAAAAAAAGCATGTCTGGCTGCGTGCTGCCTCGCGTCCCCTCTACCGCTCCCCTGGCTCCGTTAGCCAGAACCTGGTTTCCCTAAGCCTTAGCACGGTACGATCCAGCTGGGATTAGTCTGGACTAATCTTACTTTGTTGCAAAATAGCAGTTCATCAAAGCTCGGATTGTTTGGAAGAAAAGGGTCGTTTTTAAACCCAGCGTCTTAAATTGTAATTTTTTGGGGGAGAGCTAAGCTTTGAATTGTCCAAACTTGCCGTTTCCCTCCCACAACATTCACCCTGAACACGCTGCTGGAGCCGTTTCTGTTGGCGTTTCAGCAGTAACGCGAGACGGCACAGACAGTGTCTTTGGAGCTTGAAATATAAAGCTCATATTTTGGGGGCCTTCGATTTCAACTAGTGCCTCAACAAAGTTATTAATTTTCATATCGAAAAAGACGCAAAAATACAGTGTGTGATTTTTTTCGGAGAAACTCTTGAGTACGTTGATAAGACAAGGAAGGTGTGTGCAAGTTTGAAAATATTTCCCGTAAAAGTGGCTGGGGGCAGAGCTTGTTTCATTTATGCAGATTTACGTGTAAGGAAGAAGGTTTCACGTGCACGTGCAGACACAACCCACAACACGCTCTGACGGTGTGACTTTTTCCTGAAAGGACACACACAGGTAGAGACTTAGAGAAAAGCCACCCAGAAGAGCAGGCGGCATCGACGGGTGTTTTCCACAGATAACACCACCACCCAAATTCAAATCATGCCTGGAAGGCGTTGTGAAAATGCTGATTTTTAGAAATCATGAAACACTGCTCTTTTTTCCTCATTAGAGCAGCGACATCATTACGGCTGTAAGCGCGGTGTGCTCGGCAGAGCCAGGACCGTCGGGTCCCCGGAGGTGACAGCGGGACCCTCCGGTGCAGCGCCACGAGCCGCCTCGGCACACTAGGCTGGCTGGAGGGGCGCAAGGAGGCAGAATCTAGTTAAATTGTGTATGGATATTTGTCTTGCTAATAGCAATTCAGGGTGAATTTAAAAAAATATATATTTAAAAATTAAAAATCAGGGGGGTTGCTGTGATTTCTGCTGTCTTGTTTTTATGTTACTCTGATTTTCAGCGCCTGGTTTCACCTTTGGTTCCCACGTGCCAGTGCACCACATCAGAGGGCAGGGAGGGGAAGAGGCAGCAGTCAGTGCAGACTGAAAAGTTTAAATGAGCCCCCCCCAGTTTGTTTTAAATCATTTCTTTTTCTGGGAAAATGTTCAGACAGTGCTCTGCGGGCTCTTTCTGCCCGCTCTCCATTGCTCCCTGCTTCCCGCCGTCACTGGGTATTCGCTGCTGCTCCCTCTCCGCGCCTGGCAGCATCCTCCAGAGCCTGACGTGGACGGAGGAAAGCGAATGCAAACTGTTAATGAAAATAAACCTGCTACGGAATAAATAAGCCAAAAGGAGTGGAGCCGTTTGGGTTGCTCGTTTCAGAAAGATCCTTGTGGTTGGGCAGAGACTGACCGGCGAGGGTTTCCCCTGCAACCCGCTCCTTCGCTTCTTTTGCTATTTTTATTTCTCTGTGCACTCCCTGGAGCGGCCTCCTTTCCCCTCGACGCCTTCGCCCGCCCCAGGCGTGCAGCACACGGCCGGCTGCGCTGGGAGCCGCTGAGGAGCTGGGAGCTCGCCGGCCCCGCTCGGCACCTCCTTTCGCACTGCTTGTGCTTCGTCTCGGAGCAAACGGTGCCACCCCGGTACGGGGAACTGAGACAGCGGTGACAGAACACCGGGGAGGTAACGCCGAGCGAGCCAGGCCCTGTGGCGAGAGCCTTGTGCTGCAGGGCTTATTAAACCAGCAGCACGTTGTACGTGTCCATTAAAAGTATCGATAGAGTCTTGTTCGGTGTGTGGCACCTGTCACCGTCCCCACCGCGGCACAGCTGCAAAGAGCATCCTGGGGGACGTCTTCGTGGCGGCCGTGCCACCGAGCTGAGCCTCAGGAGTGTGGGTAGAGCTGAATCTTTTTGTTCTCCAAAAATAACCCCAATTTGCTAGGCCTCGGTGGTTTTTAAAAGGAGGTTTTCCATTAGCTTTCCATCGGAGAGCTGCTGGCAGCGCTGCCGACGTCCCCGCTCCCTCTGAAAAGAGACAACAGGATGTGACGCCCGTGGCGTCAGTGCAGGCTCGCTGATTTTTTTTAAGACAAGGAAATGGAAGGAGTGAGAAATGCATTAAAATCTGTTACAAGCAGAATATTTTTAAATACAAATAAAGTTTTAGCAACTGTTTCATTGACACGTGTAACTTTACGTCAATATGTGAGAAAGGTGAGGGATTGTGATAACTGCTTGAGTACAAGAAGTCACGCAGACCAAGGTAGGAGGGACACCCGGCCATATATTTTTACTCTCTGAGCTCAATAAAAGGCAAACAAAGGAGGAAAGATAAACTAGATGTTTACAAAAGACCCAGGGTAGGAGCAGTTGCCAAGTTCCTCAGCAGTTTGCTGAGCCCAGTGCCCCGGCTAAAAGGCCTGTCTGTCTCCGTTCTCCCTGTAAATCCTGTTTCACGGCATTTTATTATCCAGATGTTCCCCATTTAGGAAACCTCACAGTTCATATCCCAGTTGTTCTTAAAGGCGAAAGGTGCTTTTAATTTAGCAAGTTAATATATGTTGTCAGAAATTAGGAGTGGAAACACCCCGGCTGTCTTCTGCTGGCAGTGGCTGTCCTTCACTGCTGCGCGGCGCAGGGCAAAATGGGGCAGTTTCCAATTCTTGTATGGTACCTGACTTAACGGCACCATGGTAGCCCAACTAAAATATGAAATACATAGAAGAAACCTGATTATTTTTTTCTTTTTCTTAATGCATCTTTTAGGTGCAGTTGCTTGAGGATATAGTAAATGAGAATAGCAGATCATTGCATTTGAGAGGCAGCACCCAAGCATGAACACCAGATATTATTTTGATAGCTTCCCGGGAAGCAAATTAACATTTTCATACTGTGAAATACCCCACGTGAGAAAGAAAGGCTCAAAGGAGAGTGAACTTCATGGGATGAGGAGCTCTGGGAGAGCTGGGCTGGCGAGGGCGGGGAGCCGCAGTACCGGGAAAAGCCTCGTTTCTTCCGTGGGGACCAGTTAACCGTAAACCCGACGCTTTCGATCATGTTGTGGCATATCAGAGGGTTTTACTGCTTCCTTCATTTGCCTTTCTAGAAGAGATTTTCATTAGACGTGCACCACTTTGTGTTTAAAGAGACACGGTGGGTCTTTTGCAATGGGAACGGGATCTACAGAGTTTCTCCTCTGCAGCGCTGCTGGGAACTGCGAAAGAAGCCGGTGGGGAGGTGGGACACAGCGAGGCAAAGCCCTTCCAGAGCAAACCAGTAAAACACTCTGTGCCGAGCTCCTTCCCACTCCAGCCTGCGTGTCTCCTCCTCATCCAGGCCGGTTCCAAGCCCAGCACACGTTGCTGTTGCCTTCGGAGCGGCTCTGCTGGCCCCCGGGGCTGCCACCACCAAGCACAGGTGTTCTCCGCCGACGTGGGGAGCGCGGGGCTGCAGCTGGAATCTGCTTTCTGTTTGGAGCGGCGGTGATGCATCGCTGGGCTGTGCGACACGCACACACACAAACACACACACACACACGCACACGCTGCTTCCGCGTCCATCCGATTTCCATTACGGCCCGAGTGGCTGCAGCTCTTTGCCCAGGGCCAGCCCCTGCGAGGCTTTTTTGCTGTTAACAGCAGAGGAAGAAAGAAAAATAAATGGTGTGCTGCCGGTCCTAGGGGCAAACATAAAGCAGTGCCTCCATATACTTTTGTTTGCTCTGAGAGCATCAACGACGTCAGTATATTTTTTTCTTCTAGGGCTTTTGTTTGGTTTATTATTCCCCTTTTTATTCCTCCTCATCCTCCCGGGCAGAGGGCAGCTTTGCTCCCTAACCAACTGCTTGCCTCTCTGGAGTTAATCATAAGCTGAGCGCTGCGATGGACTAGGGCTGAAGTTCCCCCTGAGCACTGGTGGGACTGGGCTGAACTGGAAATGCACATTCCAGACACTCACGTTGGTGGTTTACACCGAGGGCACGGGTTTGGGTGCTGTGGCAGCGGCACGGGAGCCTGGAGGAACCCGCTGGCTTCTGGGTGCTCCTCGGCAAAGACAGACGTGTTCGATGCCACACGGGCTCGCGTGGAGCCCAGCTCGGAGGCAGAGCTGTCTGAGGCCACCGAGGGCTGTTTCAGAGGACGCATGTCGTCTGTGCAGAGGTTTGCTCCCCTCCCACGGATATTTCCTTGCCGTGGGACCTAAGCAACTATTACCCACCACCTTTGCAAACTTTGGCAATGTATATTTTGTCTGCTAGAAACCTCTACTCTTTCCTTGCCATGAAATGCATTCCCGACACCTCCTCCCTGTATCGCCACGAATAACCAGCCCCCCCCAGACCGGGGATGCGGCTGGATCCTGCCCAGTAATTCCCACCCTGGGGGGTGCTGGGCAGGGGATGGGGTGCATGGGCAGCCCTGGGTGTGAGTTACACCCCAATAAATCATCTGGGCACATTTCGCTGTGTGGGGAACTTGAAAGGAAACCCCCAGTGCAGCAAGGCCCGGCCACGCACCCCCAGCCCCAAGGCCGAGCTGCTTGGGGGGGGCTGTCCTGCTGTGCAGGACATCCCTGGGGCCCAGGTTGTGTGCTGGAAGGACACCATGAGATTTCATAAGTGGTAAAATGCCAAAAGCTGATCTTTTTTCCTGCCTCTGCACAACCCACAGCCAGCAGCGGAGCTCTGCGCTTTTTGGGTGGATGCTGAGGTGTTTAAGGGTTTGTCCCCACTATGGATCTGTTGGGGCCGGTGATGTTCAGACACTCGACCCTTCTCATGCTGGGCATCGCTGCCAGGGGGAAGGGCCACACCACTGCCAGGAGAACGGGAACAGTCCCTGCATCCCAACAGAAAAACTGCCTTGTACTGGAGATGCACGCAGAGTTTCAGCCCTGGTTTGTAAATCAATCCCTTGGGCCTGGAGAAGGCTCTGCCACTTTCCAGACGGGCAGGTTTGTGGCAGGAGATGAGCTGCGTCCAAAGGGTGGTAGGATCGGAGTCACTCCGGTTTAGCGTTGCTTATTTTCCTGGCACGTGCTGGAAGTGGATGCGGGCTGTGCTCTGCTCTGTCTCCCTGGTCCTGCCCTCGTGCCCTTCGGGTTGCTGCTGGCGAGACGCCGGGCTGTGAGCAGAGCTCCGCGTGAGGACAACCTTTCCCCCGCTGTATTTCCAAGACAGATTAAGCGGTAGGCAGAGTAGCCTTAAGCATCCCTCTAATTAAAACAAAATCCCTCATGGCCTCTTATATAGAGAGATATTACAGGCTTAAGGGATGTACAAAATGTATATTTATTGATTGGATCAACTGTTGCAGCTCCTTCCACAGAGTTCAGCGAGAGCATCAACAGACGACTGGCCAGGAGGGAAGGGGAGCGGGGTTTGGCCGGTGCTTTCACGGCGAGACCATCAGTACCTGCCTGGTATATATACATATATACAGTCATATATGTAGGTAGGCATCACCCCAGCGCCCATCCTGGGAACCCCTCGTTTCTGGTCCTGCTTTGCCAGGCTGGTGCCGGCTCTGGCGTGGGACGCGCTGCCGACGCCAGGTTCCCCCCACCGCCCGTTTGCCGGCTGCGGGTTTGCAGAGTTGTGCCCACGGTGGGTTGTTTCTGGCTGCTTTGCTCCTGCGTCCGCTGGCAATGGCTGGGTTTTTTTGATTGCAGGAGTGCAAGATCGTTTCTGGTAAAGCCTCGGTAGTGATTGAGGGTCGTGGTTTTCAGTGAGAAACAACCACTCGAAAGCTTTTGCAGGCTGAGATTTTGGGTTTAGCAAGTTGCTTCACCACAATCTGAACCCCAAGAAATGTGAGTGTGTAGTGGAATTGTCTGCAGGCCTGGATGAAAACGGTGCTGGCAGATGATGCTGTAACTTCCACAACGTAAACATTACAGAAAAATAGTGTAAATACGGGGGATTCTATTTTTTTTTCCCCTCATTTTTTCCCTCACGCAGGCCAGGGACTGCTAAAGCTTAAATAAATCACTGCAGAAGTGAGACTGACCTAAATCATCTTACACAGTGGAGACCTTGTCTCCTGCTTTTGGAGCTTCTCGTATTTATGCCGTGCCAGAACAGAGTTGAAGTTGTCTGTACGGCAGTAGCTGCATCCTACGCCCCGGGGAGCTCGGGGGAAGGTGTGAGATCGGCTGGCGTGTGGCAGCAAGGCTGCTGGGGAGAAAAAAAAAAAACAAACCACCAGCTCTCTCGTGCCGGGGGAACCAGCGGGTATTTCTGGTGCCGTGCTTGGCGCTGGCAGGTTTCTGTGCGGGGCTGCCGCTCTGCCCCCCTCTGCTTGCAGCGGGTGGGCTCATGCGTGAGTGCCTAATTAATTCATGCATAAGCGCCTAATGAGTGAACGCAGAAGCTCCCAGTTAATATACGTTTGAGCACCCAACGAGTTCATGCATGAGCACCCAATTAGTGCATGCATCAGCACCTAATTATTTTATGCATGAGTGCCCGGGAGGGGCCCGGGTGCCACCGAGAAGGTCCCGCATGAGCGCGGCGCGACCCTGCCCGCAGACTCACAATTAGTTCACGCACGAGTGCAGGATCAGTCCACGCATGAATGCCCAGTTAGTGGATGCATGAATGCCTAATTACTGTACACATGAGCCCCTAATTAGTGCATGCATGAGCACCCAAGTAGTTCACGCATGATCGCCTGGTTATTTTGCATATGAATGCGCAATTAGCCTGTGCATGACTGCTCGATTATTTCATGCATGAGCGCCAGGTGGTTTACATGTGATTTCCCAGTTGGTTCAGCCCTGAGCGCCCAGTGTGATCCCGGAGCGGGGACTCCCCTGGGGACGGCAGCTGGCCCACAGGAGGGAGGGAAGGAGCACGGCAGGGTGGAAGAAAGGCCGAGAGTGATGCGGGGACGTGGGTTTCCTCCCCACACACCCTTCAGCCAGCCCAAAGCAACCTGGCACCCCTTGGCACCCCTGAGTTCATCTGAGAGCAGCGCAGTGCTCTGCTCCACCACAAAAACCCAACCCTGGCCCGTGCTGTGGCCCACGGGAGGGTGGAGCGGGTGATCACAACAGCCCTTCCAGCCCTAAACACGGTGGAAGCCTTTGATGTGCAGGCAGGGCCCCTCGCAGCGAAGCCACCTTGGGTTTAGGGCTTGTGCTGGAGCACCCAGCCCAAATGAGAGGGAAGACAGAAAAGAAAAAAATGGATAAACTCAAGGGAAGAAGTCGAATGAAAGCTCATCCCCGACCCGGCCCTGCAAGCCCACCGAGTTGGTGTCCCCAAACCCCTCTTCCCGCTGCGGGAGCAAAGCCTCGAGGCACCAGGGCTTCGACGTGAGCTTTGCGTTGGTGTTTATGTTGTCTCTAAACCCATTTTTCACTGCGGGAGAGATGAGATGAAAGGGAGTTCCCAGTGCTCGGTGCATCCAGCTGGGCTGGGGCGCTGGGAGCTGCGAGCAGTGGGCTGGCCGGCTCAGCCCGCCTGGGCTGCGTCACCCCTCGTCCCTCGGCACGTTGTTATGTTCCTGCGCTAATATGACCCCGCCAAGATTCCAGAGAGGTGTTTTTATTTATGGATCCTGCATGGACTGCACACCGCAAGTCACTTGCAAAAACTTGCAGCAGGCAGATGACCTGAATACATATTAATAAGGCTCACAAGTCGTTTAGTATTAGTTTTTTCTATCACGCTTGTGGGATGGCAAGGAACGCACTACCTCCTGGAAAGCAATGCTTAGACAAAAAGCCGTCTATAGCCTGTCACATTTTTAAGCCCCTTTGCCTTGGAGATAAGCCCAGGCTGCCCTGCCACGGTGCCTTGCTTGCGGCTGCCGCCGCTCCGAGACAAACCCAGGGGAGACGAGGAGCGACAGCTCCGTGCACGCCGCACCACGGAAGGGCCGGTGCCGGCTTTGGGGACAGGGTGTTGCATGGCTGGAGGCCATGTTTGGGGGTTTCAGAGCCTGATGGGGTGTTTGACCCAGTCCTGGGCAGTTCTTCTGATGAAGGAGTGTTTCTCCCTGGGCAGGACCCTCTGCGCCTGCTGCCCTGCTGCTCCTGGCAGCAATATCAGGTAGTGACCCCATTTCCCAGCTGGGGAACCTGGGGGACAGTCCCAGGTCTGGTATTTGTGTGCTCTGGTCTCACTCTGGATGGATAAGCCTTTGTGGATCAGGCACGGGGACGAGGTGCTCAGAGCACCAGGCCCAGGGAGAGAACCTGGCTCCTGTTCCCCGAGGGATGTGAGACTAACCCAGGGGGGACAGAAATGTGCCCAGACTGGATCTGTGCAGCGAAGAGGATAGCAGGTAATGAAAATTTTTTATCGTCCCAAATTTGTGAATAATAAACTGGGGGACTTGGAGTCTGATACCGATGTTAACGAACTGCTTACGGCGATCAAACCCTCCACATCAGCGGTGGCGGCTCCCCGCTGGAGTTTTATAGAGCATTTCCTTTTATAGGGCATTTTCTTTTTTCCCCGGGATTTATTCAGGTTCTATAGCAGGGATTCAGGGAGATAATACCGTACATTAACCAGGGCGCTGAAAACTGCTTCGCAAACAAGATTGATCAAAGCAGCCCAGGACTGATAGCAAACCCTCTGTAATGCAGTTTGTAAAACACTTGCCAAAACAATGGACTCCTGGTAAAAAATAGCTCGTGAGGGCCCTGGATCCAGCGGCTGGAAAGCTGGCGGCTGGCGACTGCGGTGATGAGCAGGGGCCAAATCTGGCCCCTCCTCGCTCCATGGCGGGGACCAGGTCTTGATGCCGAGGTGTAAGCGATGGGGAGAGCCACCAGTCCTGGTGGGGGGAGGTTTCTGGGGTGCCTGGCTGCATGTGGATCCATCCCCCTGGTCAGCACTCGCCATCCTGTGGGTGCCTCGTGGACGGGCTGTCACTTGCCGGGGAGAACAATGAGTTTTGCAAGGGGTCGGACTCCGCAAAGCTTTTTCCTTTTTCCCTGCGGGGTCGAGCTGCTGGCAGTGCCTCCCTCTCACTCTTCCATCTCATTTCTGTGCAGCTGCTTTGCAGCACGTCTCTGCAAGGAGGTTGGGAGCTGCCGGCTCTTCGCTCGATGCATCAGCCACAGGAGGGTGATTGCGATGTCACTAGATGAGGAAGAGGAGCTGTGGCCGCCCCGGCTGCGACGTTTGCCC